CAAAGTTAAGAGTCTTGCCCAAGGTCACTGCCATGGGGTGTATGTACCCCATGTTACCCAGCAACTGAAGGGTTAATACAAGCCCTGCCAGACACTGCTGATTGGCAGTCTAGCAGCAGCTGGGAGGATAAAAGGGCTGGGAAGCAGAAGAGCGGGATGGCTAACAGAGCAGTGAGAAGGGAACTCCAGTCAGCAGACTGCTAGAGAGCCACTAGGGACAACACTCAGCAAGGGGCAAACAAACCCACAGACTGAAGAGCCTGCCGAGGCCTGAGGGAAGGTAGGAAGGAGCTCAGGGTACAGTCCCGGTCAGCAACCCTGACTCTCCTTATCTAGCTTGAGGGCCCGGACCTGGAACCCAATGGAGTGGGCAAGCCTGGGATCCCCTACCAGCCCCCTGGGGGTTTCCAGATTCCTGGACACCAGGGGTAGACTGACAGCTCTGCGAGCTGAGGGAGCCAAAGCCATGCACCCTCTGCCCCCATTTGGCCACAGGGAGCACCGCCTCAGTCACACATCGAGATAGTGGTAGATTTGAAGATAAAACCCTGGAGTCTACTCTCAACCCCTTGTTTGGCCGTTAAAGTGCTACCCCCTCTATTAATTATTTGCAGTATTGTGGCAGTGCCCAGGGTTCTGTCTGTAGGAAGAAGCCGTCCTTGCCTCAGAGAGCTTACAATTGAAACAGATGAAAAAACAAGCCCAGCGTGGCACAGAAGGAGGCCGTGAACTAGTGTTTGCAGTAGCAAATTTCATCACTAGGATGAGATGCCGTTTCTGTTCAAACCTCCCACCCCACAGTCTGCAGTTGATGAGAATGGCCTGGATTTTCAACAGCTCCCATGGGAGAAACTGGCAGTTTAAGTGGCCAAAAGGGTTTTCTAAGGTTCCGAGGGCTGCACAAGACCTTTTCAGAAGCAGCCTGGTGCTTGGGCCCAAGGGCTGAATTGGACGCATTGATAAGCCACCTAAAGGCGTGGTTCTAGGGTGGGGTTAACTTGATGGGTTTGTGGATTTTCAAAGTTGTCCGAAGTCTCCCTCCTCCCCCAGTAATGTGCTTCTGAGATAGTTGTAGGGAGGCACAACGTGACATCCATCTGCCCATCATCTGTGTTCCCCTCCATCTCCCTCCTGATCTCCATGTTCTCCTGCACATGCTCCACTCTCCATAACTGCCAAGTTGTGTGCAGCTCCCTGGGGGACATTTCTCGGTCACTAATTGCTCCTCATTCCAAACAATTGGGGTGGGGAGGAAGGTACAAATCTCCCCACACCAGTGGCAGAGGGAGGCAGGACTCTTATCTCCACACAACCACCTCTCCCTTTCCCACTCTGGATCCAATGCTTGCCCTGCTCCAACTGCCTTGGGTCCCCTCAGAATTCTGCCTCAGTGGGGAAGGGCTGGCCTAGCCTGTCCCAGCTCTCCCCAAGGTACATTTGCAGCAAAAGGAGTGGGCTTTTTCCATTCCTCCCCCACCCCTTCTTGAAGAAAAATTTGTTGTCCCAGCCTGCTGGCCCTCCTCTCCAGCCCCCTCCCCCCCACCATGGCGCACACACACTCCTGAGAGGGGAAGGGCAGGAGGCTCTGCTAGAGCTGCCCTCTGACTGGGGTGGGAGGGGGAAGACACTTCCCTTCAAGGTAAAGGGGGGGGGGCACAGTAAAATGTTGGGGTGGGGGCAGTGGCAGATGCAGGAGAGAGAGAGCCACAGGAAGTTGGACAGGAGAAAGAGATGTAAAAAAAGGGGAGGACCCCTCCCTGTGGCTGGGAAGAGAAGCAGTTGCCCCAGGCAATCAATTCATAGAATCCTAGAATATCATGGTTGGAAGGGTCCTCAGGAGGTCATCTAGTTCAATCCCCTGCTCAGAAGAGGACCAATCCCCAACTAAATCATCCCAGCCAGGGCTTTGTCAAGCCTGACCTTAAAAACCTCTAAGGATGGAGATTCCACCCCCTCCCTAGGTAACCCATTCCAGTGCTTCACCACCCTCCTAGTGAAAAAGTTTTTCCTAATATCCAACCTAGACCTCCCCCACTGCAACTTGAGACCATTACTGCTTGTTCTATCA